AAATAAGATACCCATTTTCTATCTCAGAGATCTCTGGTTCAGGTTTAGGGGAAAAAACCCAAACAAGTAGAAAGAGATGAAGTTGTCAAGAGTAAAATTTGTGCACATTTTTTGGCAAGAAGAATTTCTCAGAACAAATTTTCTGTTCTTTCAGCAAAAAGGTAGATCAATTCAATGCATGGATGTCATTTGAAAGATACCTATGCTCTAAACAATTCATCCCACTGAGGCTGGAGGAAACACTTCAGATATAACCTACAACTACACGTCAGGGTTGTGGGAAAGACGGCACGTACTTTCCACAAATACATTTTCAAAAAAGGAAATCCTTGCAGGCTTTATTTTTAATTTTTACTCTTCTCTCTTCTGCTTCTTTTTCCTCCCAATTTTGTTTCTTTACTGAAGCGCTGTTTTAGTAAAACACTATTTCGCTTTCTCACAAAAACTGGAGAATTTTAAAAGGATTTCTTTTTTCTGTAAAATACGATACTGAGTCTGAAGGATCTGTTTTGGTTAAAAATATGCAACGAAATCGTAGCCTGAATTGGAACTTCTCCCAACTTATCCCCTTCTTTTAGATTTGTATTTTTGCCTGTGGGTTATTTGAATGTTATCGTCTCATATTCTCATTAAAATAAAGACTCCTACCTGTTACCTTCCCTAGCCTTTAGGTACGTACAGATGTAGACAGAGATCTTTCTCCCTCAGATCCTTTGAGGAAAAACGGCAAAGCACCTTTCAGCAGCGCGTCGTGAACCACACTTCATTAGCGTCCCGTACGCCTGCCGTGAGAGCAGAAGAGGAACTTGCCATGTTATAGGATGGAAAAATAGTGCTGAGTCACACATTGGCTTTCGTGTTTCCAATTTATGTTTTCTGCCTTACCTTCTGTGACGGTTTGAAACTCCTGGAAGGCAAAAGGCTAAAAAGTGAGAGAAAGCTTCAGGCTTACCCTTATTGTCGTCTCTCTTTCAGGTATTTAAGTGTGGACTTGTGTTTAGCAGTATTAGTTGACTTTCAGACAACAGTATGTCAGAAAGTATTAATATTCACAATTAATAGATTGATATATAGTTTCATTCTGTCATTCCTCATTTTCTTTCTGTCACTTTGCTATCACGCTGCTCTGACACTTCCCCAGCGATGCTGAAGAGCGATGGCTTTGGAGGAAGCCCCATCACCGCTCACTGAGAGCAGGACGCAGCACAGCAACGATCGGCTTCCCGTCTGTCAGCGGGGATGGCAGTACAGCATCCCTCTGCAGGGGGGGAATTTCTTTGTAGGATTCATTTACAAGCAGAAATTTTAATGGGCTGCAAGGTTCGATCATGAAGGCTTTTTCTTCTGCTGAGGCAGCTTGTCATTTTAGTTTTAATGACAGGAGACAGGACAAAATTGTTAAAGCAATCCAATTATATTAGCTATTGAACAGGTGATTTCTCTCCACCTTTTCCAAGTGAAAGAAAGTAGCAATAGCTGCATTAGCCTTTAATATTTTCCAAATTGCAACCCCCTTAACATGACCAGGGGACTTCGAGAAGTCTGGGTATGCTGCCGCCATCCAGCTACAGTTCAGCGCTTCAGACACTCCATCCCCTGCTCCGCACTTTCCTCCCTTAAAGGCTATCTTCGCTGAAATCAGCACGGTGAACCCCATAGTCCCTCTTTTTGACCCATTTTAAAAGGAGACAGAAATCAAGAAGGTGAAGTCTGAATCTCCGACTTGATTTTACCTTTGCACCAGAGTATTTCAAAGAGTCTGTCATCACCCAAAGGAGAGAGAAAGCCAGTCACAACAACTAGCTGGTATTTATTTACAGTTCAGCAAGGGAGAGGTTGTACAAGCGTAGGAGAGTGTTTCAGGTGCCTGGAGAGCAAGAGCATCCTCAGTTACGAGGTTCAGCCTCTCTTCTGAATATTCACATCCCACCACCCCCATTAACATGGCTAAATGGCAACAGCAATTTCTGCAGAGTCTCTTAATTTACGTGGGGAAATAATTCCCACTTTTTGACAAATGCGTGATGAAACTGGGGTTGCTCTATTAATCAAGCCAATGGGCAGGACCTTCAGTATTATTCGGGTCCCGCTTTTGCCAGCATGCTGCTCGCACCTCTCCTCTTCCAGGCTGCCAACTGCAAGCACTGCTTCCAGAGCCACATAGGACACACAGCTCCTGCTCTCAACCTCCACTTGAGATGTCTTTTGTCATTTCTTTTGTTTTTTGAATTTCTGACAAAAGTACCTCCCTGCTCACTCTGCTCCTTCCCACCTTCCCAGTGCTCAGAGGATGATATGCAACACGGACGGCTCACAGGCAAATCATGGATCAGACCAGGTTGCCACGCAGATAGTTAGCATCACCAGGACCTGGCCACCCACCGGGGAGGGGACGGTCACCCTGAGCACCTCGGGGTCCCTCGTCAACTGCACCATAACCACGGCAGAAGAATTTGGCTCAGGAAGCAAAGCAAGCAGCCAAATATGTGGCCACGTTTTAGCAGTCCCTTTATCTCAGATAGTTCAAGTCATTTTTGTCCTTTCTTTACAACTGAAATAAAATACAGAAGTTAGTTAGTTGTATTTCTTCGGAGCACTCTTGTTATTTTCCCAGTACGAGAGCCACATACCCTGCTGTCAAGCCCTCAGGTATTCGCATACACTTTTTAACTTACAAAAACAATTTCTAATAAGTAGCTTATAACAACTCCTCTATACTTATCTAATTTAAAATACACTTTCTGAGAAAAAACACAACCTCCAAACCGTGGCAGGCTGTTACGTGCTGCCTACAAAGCAGCGTGCACGCTCCATTTTCACTTGCTGCAGATACTGTTGCCTAATTCCCGTTGGCACGGGGGCTAGCTGGCTGGGAGCTGCAGCTGGTTGCCAGGTCAGGAGGAGGAATCAGTGCAAATCTTACAACCTGTCTGGAAATTAAAGATTTTTGATTCAGTGCAAAACAACTCCTTGTTTCTTGGGGCAGGCTGATCTGCACGGTTTCGTTTTCTCAAGGGAAATCCAAAAGCTTCCTAGCAGAAGTTTTAGGAGAAAGGAGCAAAAATCAAAAATTTCCAAGCAAAAACCTGAGCACGTGCTTGGGCAGCTGAAGATTGAGGCGTCCTTAAGGCTTTTTCGGTGTGGTGGCCCAACTTGTTAATTCACAGCTTTCGTTCCCAGCAAAAGCTGCAAAGGTAAATGGAAGTTAGTTTACCTTACAATTATGAAAGCACACAGGCTTATAACATCCTGAAAAATAAGGCTGTGACTAGATGGAAAGACATAGCTCTTTTATACAGTCCCACTAAAAGATGTTGCTTAATTCCTGAATTCCTTGAAGTATTCCTGACAGCAATCACATCTGCTGCCATAAAACCCATCACAGCCTCTGCCTTTGGGAAAAACGTATTTAATAATCAGTAAAGTTCAAGCTCAGCTTGTTGTGATGAATTATTAGAACTCGTCATCATTTTCTTGCCCAAAAAAAAAAAAAAGGCTATAATGGAACACAATTTTATGTTTTTCCATTTAATTGATGATGGGCTGAATTTTTATTAATCTTTCTGGGCTCCAGTGTAAGATGCTGAAAAAGCTAATATGAGATCATTGTATCTGGTTAATGTGTGTGCTTTGCAAAATTGATAAGGCCTGGCAAGACATAAATTATTTAAAATTTGATAAATGTGTTGAAATCATTGAATTTTCAAACAGACAAAGCAGAGCTATTTCTCTTCCCCCACCCCGTTCAAATGAGGGTTTTGTGCAGCCGCTCAATGATGCTGCGTTATCCGTGCAGCACACGGCTTGTGAGGAACTGAAATGGGCACCGGGAGGGCAGAGGAGTACCCTGTGCTGCTGCGGTGGTGACGCGAATATAAACCCACAAGATACAGCCTCAGGGATGGACGCAGCAGAGAGCGAGGAGGACACTGAGAAGCCTCCCCCAGTATGAGTTTTTCACTGGTGAAACTGGGTGCGGGAGGAGGTTACTGAGTACCACCTCCCTCCTACCAGCCCTTCCTCTCCATCGGTGGGATAAAAACCTCACAGCAGCACCACTGAGCAGCCGAATGGTGCTTCAGAGCTGTTTATCCCAACAGACCTATTTATTTCAGCTAATTGCTGCGAGTTTTTAAATGATTCCTGGCAGGGGTGAAGCTATAGAAATGATTGCTGGTGATCGATGAATAACCTGGATAAAATTCCCAAAGCATCAGAACGATTAACTCTTGCATGGGTACACCCGCTTGTATTTGGTGCCTTGCCCACCGAGAAAGGCATGGGAGCAAATTCCAGATGAACCCAAATTTATTTGGGCAAATAGAGAAAATATATAGCATATGTATAATATATAGAAACAGAGAAAATATACAGCATTTACTGACACCGGTGTCTCATCAACGCAGGCTCAGGCCTCAAGAATAGTTCAGAGGGAACGTTATTTAACCCTGTGCTGCTCTACCATGGTCAGCATCACTCATGGAAGAGAAAGGTTTTGAAGAGCAATCACAGTCTTTCAGAGGAGCGCACAGGAAGAACCAATGGTTTGAAGTTTAAAACTGCATAAATATAAACCCCATCATCCTTTGGTTTGAGCCGTCCTTGCGGTTAACGTAGCAAAAGAAAACAGCGAGGCACATTGTGGATTCTGTACATCTCGATGGGTCCGAGATTATGTCACTTACTGGAAAATATCTACAGTCTAATGGAAATTTTTGGGTAACTGGGTGACATTCTACAGCCTCTGTAATACGGAAAAAGATTAGGTGATTTCTTCTGTTTGGAAATTGATGGTTTGGAGGGAATGGGAAAATGCAGGTGCAGCAGAGGAGAGCTACAGCAATAGCCATCTGTTTAAATGTATACACTAACTTCCCTAAGCTAGTATTTTTCAAATACCCTACTAGCAATATTTTCCACTATGGAGAAGCATTATATTGAAACGGGAAGATGCTGAGGAAGTCATTTTTTCCAGCATGTGCTGCATTCTTTTAATACAGGTTTTTTTATTTCCCGGAAATTGCTAACCAACGTGAATAAACAGCTGAACAAAGAGCATCGGCCCGTCCTTGCTAACAGCAAAGAGCTGTCATCAAGCGAAGGGCCTTCGCAATGTATGGAGGAAAATGATGCGGTAGAGTTCGGTTCTCTTACATTGGAGAAAGCTTTATTCAAAATAGAAAAAACTCTGCACACGCACAAAGAAGGTTTTACATTAAAAAAGCACAAGTATTATTCACATTGCTGAAC